GGGAGGGCGGCGGCTGCCGCGCGCAGCGGCCGTTTCCAACGCCCTCAGGAAGGAAAATCCACCAGGGAAGGCCTCAGGCAAAGCCCAGCGACAGCGACAGCAACGGCCCGGCCGGATCCCTCCGTACCTACACACCGGCCTGCTTCTGCGGTCAGGCTTCTCGGACACCCCTCGGAAAGAAATTTTAGTTGAAAATAAGAGTCTCTGTTTCCTGGAGGCACTTCAGCGGCGTCGCGCCGCGCCTTCCCGGGTATTTACAAGCAACGGAAAATCCCGCAAAATGCAGTAGGCAAAGCCGAAGCATTTCACACTTGAATTAATACCACCTTTTCTTCCTAACTTACGCATACTTATAGACAGAAGATGATGAGCCATTATAGTAACTGCAGTCAACTTCAAAAAAAAAAGTGTGGTAAAACACAGAACGGCAGCAGCACTAAACAAACCTCCTTGATTTTGCTCAGAATTGAATAAATTATAAATTAATCTGATTCATGATTTTATTCAATTTGTGGGGTTTTTTGACAAATTATTTTTAATCCTGCATGTGTGACTACGGCCTGTTTTTCAAACTGTAGTATTTAAAAAGTAATCTACGAAAACCCCACACAATTGAAATGAAACACACCATCAGGAACATTGACGATCAGTTTCGCAGCACAGTAACCCACTTTAGAATGCCGTCTAACTATAAACTCTACAGCCCTTTACAGAAACATCAAGCTTTCACCGAATTTGCAGACAAACTGCAAACCCCAAACCATCTCTACATGAACTTCATAAAAAGCAACTAAATCAAATGACAGAAGACAAAACATTCCTCCTTGGTCACTCACAGCAACGCATTTCAGTCCAAATACTACTTCTCTTTCTACTTTTTGTATTTAAGGATCGCTTCATAAAATTTGGTTAGTTCCAAGTGAAACAAATTTGAAGGCAGAGGCTTTTACCTACATGTCTGCATATTGCAAGCAATATTTACATAATCAATACTCTAAAAATGCAGAAGTCAATTAAGGGCTACAATCCAAAAGAAAAAGAGGAAATTGCAGGTTCAAGAAGCAGGGTATTCCCTAGACGTGAGCACGGGACAGCTCTCCTGCGATGCTGGCTGTGTAACAGACTGTGATGTGAATCCGAGTGGAAAAGTATAGGGACATAATTCCACAAAATGTTTGTATGAAGAGGGTTTTGAGGAAAATGTCCTACAGACAACGTACTTCTAGTTTTTCAGAATGCATTAAGAGAATCGTAAGAAAAAAAAGAATCATAGCAATCAACATAAATTGGACAGATGCCGCTTGCTACAAATTTATGGAGTAATTAAAACGAAAGCAATGTGAAGGCAAAGAGGCAGTCTAATAATATAATAATAATCCTTCTATCTGACTAGATATGAAGAACTACTTCAGCTGTGAGGACAGTCGAGCAGTGGAGCTCTGGGAAATGTGCAGTCTCCATCCTTACAGGTTTTCAAGACCTGATTGTATAAAGCTCCTGTGATAAAAACAGGACTTTCTAAAAATTTAGAGATCAAAAACAGTTTTATCACATGGAAAATAGCAATGATAAGAAGATACCTTCAGTTTTATGGAGACTAAGTTGAGAGGTTAAAGACCCCCAAAGAAGGAAAACGGAAGAAGTGTGAACAATGAGAGCATGACAGAGAAAAGTATTTTACTTCTGTTCCTAAACTAACCATGCCTACTAGTGGCACCACCCCAGCAACGCCTCAGCCACTGTCAGCCTCATCCCTTTTCACTACAGCCTTTTGAGTGTGACATCTGGGAGATGGACTGTGAACTCACTGGGCTGTACAACTGTTGGGGTAGTCTCTGCCCCAAGGGCAAGAAGCAAAAGCAATACTGGCAAAAACAAGGGGAGCATAAAGAAGCAGGAGAAAGGAATTACTAGTGTCCACACAAAACATGCTGGTGACATCCAAAACAGCAATAAGTACCTATTTAAAAAACCCCCAAGAGGGTACCTACTGCCCTTTAACCTCAGGGAAATCTCTTGTTAATAATGGTTTATGTCAACAAAGGCAAAATTAGAAATTAACACAAATATTTCAGACAGTTATTAAAAGAAAGCATTACTTGCATTTATTAGTAAATTTTCTCTAATGATGCTAGTGTTTCACAAATATTTTTTTGGTGTATTTTCAGAGAGATCTGATAAATTTATGCAATCACATGGTGTATTTTGTTTTTACTCTCTCCCCAGCAACTTAAACCTTATTGCCAATTTCAGGCTAATTTAATTGAAAGGTAAAGGAGTCAAAAATACTACCTGCCTATGCTTTTATGAAAATTGATGGTTAAGAAAAGGCACACTAGTGCCTTAACTAAAAGAGGCTGAAGCAGAAGCTGAGGCAATAGCTAACAAGCAAGCCAGCAAACACAGCCCGCAAGTACTGCCGTGCAGCCCAGCAAACACTGTCCGGCACATCGCACCTCTTGTTCAGAGAGGAACGTGGACACTTGCCGGGCACAGCATGTGGCAAAACAGAAGACGTTAGAAAAATCAAAGGAAGGGAAAGGATATAGAACATAAAACAAATCCCTCACTAGCAATGATGTACACGAAGTAACTTCTGATAACTAGCTATTGAGCAGCCTCAGCAAGACATCCGAATTGTTGCTTGCTGTCAAATGCTAAAGCTTGCATTTCTCTTTTAAGGTCTTTTAGAGTTCCAAGTTGCTTTTCCAAAGCTGCACTCAAACATCCCAGGATGCAAGAAAATGACAACTACTGTGGTGCCTTGTTTTTTTTCCCAGTGTTCAGTATTATTTTTTTTTGTGCTTCCATGTCTCATCCAGAGAACAAAACACCATAGTTGTTTTTATTGGCTTTTTTATCATTTACAGAGAATCAAGATATTAGCATACATATAACTGTATTAGAATTGCATCTCTATATTAGCTGAGACTTGGGGACAGGTGGTTCTACTTGTATGTGTTTGAAGGAACACAACTATACTACCCATTCAATGCCACCCATTGAATTCTCTTTGCTTTGCACACCTTTCATCTCCAAGCAGTCAAGACTTCTTAAGCAATCTACATTCCCATCTGTCTCTGATAGCAAAACGTTATGGTCAACGTCAGAAGAATATAAAAAACCCTAAAGTATCAGGGGAACATTTCTTTCAAGCGTCAGCTGGTGATCAATATATACCACGATGTTCATTTCATTTTAGCTATTTCCAGCACAAATAGCTAATCCTTAAAAAAAACACTTCTCGTTCTCAGTAGTAGAAAATTTCATGGTTAAATATTGGTAAAGAGCATACTTCTTCTTTAAGATCGGCAGCCTCTAAAACTCAGTGTTCGTATGGTAAGAATACAATCAACACCACTGGTCCTCTGATAATCACTTCTAAATCTTTCTCACCGAATCCACCCAAGACAACATAGTGACAGTTTTATTTCTTCTATTACTTGTCTTTTCTGCTACCTAAGGGCAGTAACTGAGTTACACCAATGGTGACAGCAACTTAACAACCAAGTCATTAAAAAACAACCCAACACAACAACAGTTCTGACAATCACAAAAGGTTATGAACCGTCCCTAAAGGGGAACTGAGCTGAGGCCATATTTGGTTCTATAATGGTAGCAGAGGCCTTCCAAACTCACTCTATTCATTTACCTGAAGAACTATTCCAAGTCAGCTACCAGACCACAATCTGCAAGCTACACCCTAGATAATGCATCCCACTGTCAAGTTCTTTTCAAAAAGATCATTAGAAAATTATCAAATGGTAAAAATTAATGAAAGCAACATATGATGGAATGTTACCATTTTATATATAAATAACATATTTACATTATTTTATCTATTAAACAATATGTAATTTATATTTTCTTTATTATTTTTATATTTATTTTTTTTATATATATAAAGTGTACGTGCAAATGCTGAATTCCAGGACATTCTAAACCCTATTGTGGTCAGTGTTGAAATAAACCCTTCACAACCAAATTATTTCTCAGTAACTTCTATTACAGAAATGGCCAGCAGCACCTCTAACAAGACGTGGAAGAATTTGTTCCAGCATGTAACGGGTGCCAAGGTGAATTACGCACATAACTTTATACTGATTTTACTAATTCATTGATGTAAAGACTGAAGCCTGAAAAGACCACAATAAATGAAGTTGGACTTTGTGCTCAGCTTTAACTATGTGCTTTCATATAATTATCTTTTTACATAAGCATTAATTTAAATAAAAAATTATATTTAAATCTAAATTAATTTAAATTTAGATGCTTGATAATTTGGTAAAGCTCCCTACCAAATTCCCACTGCAAGGAATTCCCTAAACCATGACCTGCAATCTTGAAAACAAAAAAAAACCACCACAACCAAAACATTCTGTAAAAAGTTTTATAACAATTAAGTTGTTCCAGCTTGTTATTTTTCTTCAAGTCTTTCTTAATTGTGAAATTTCTTCTTCTTCCGATTCCTCTTCCCTGCTGCAAAAGCTGCTTTTTCACTCATGATCTCCTGATACTTCTTTTTATTATATCTGAACAAAATAGATAATTTACTTTTAAGCATGATAAACCAAAGTTCAGGAAAAGATAACATGGAAAGTACTCTACGTGTATAGTTTGCCAAACTGAGTTCTCTCATGTTTTCCAAGTCAGACTTCTTTAATTTTATACACTTATGCATAGGTAAAAGGAAATCAACATTTGGATTAATGATAAATGCAGGTTAATTTGTTTTGGAAGTAAATTTGATGGAAGAATCATTAATTTTGGCATAAACGGGGTTCTTCAATGCATACACAATCACATTTTGGGCAGTTTGCTAAAACACTGCTACTGCTCATAGTGCAAAGACTCATCAATGTTGACAATACTATGAACAAATTATACCCACTTTTATACTGCCTTCTCAGCAAACTCAAGATAATCAACCTTAGTCTACTCAAGATTGAAAACTGAGATGAGATTAACACTAAACAATGAACAGGATATATATACTGAATATGAGTTGCTAACTCCTCTAATACAGATTCTTAGGTACCTGTACCAATTACCACAATGGATTACTGCACACTGTGCAGTACTGAGGCCTTTAATTGTGACACTGAAACCTGACAAATACCTGCACGAATGCTGAAGTACCTTGTTAAAGCCCTTTATTAGCCACAACATAAATTAACTGATCAAATTTTAAAGACATTAATTTTTAAAAATAGCTTCTAATAAATACCTTACAAATCAGGTTAAGCCAGAAAACTAGTTAAGAAATAGCTACGCTAACTTGCCTTCCCAACATGAATAGTTAATTTATGAGCCTGACAACATTAACCTTATAATCCCAAATAGTGTACTACTTCCAAGAAAACATGTCATTATGTGAAAAAAGAAGTGCAGATTAATATCACGTAATAACCAATATCAAAATGGATCAACTAAGAGATCTACCCCAGAAACTGTAGGTTAGGCAGACATTAATTAATCCAATCATATTCTTCAAGTAAGACTTCTAGTGCAATTTTAATTCCTGTGACAGGTGGCAGACTGACATGCTTATAAAATGAAATCATATCAACTTTCATAGAATTACAGTCAGCACTTTTCTATCAATTATGACAAGAAAAAATAGTCAGTCTTTAAACAACAAAGGGAGTGCATGCATAGGCATAAATCCCTCGTCCAAAGGCCTTGGTTTTTGGTGTAAGCCTGTGCAGACACTTATTTTAGAAGTGAACCAGAATAGGGCTGATACGTTATCTCTTCAACACTGACATCATTTTAGGAGTGGCTGCCAAGAGCAATGACCCAAGTTGGACAAAACCCTTTTATGAATATCAAAAATATGCTGTCTCAGTCTAACTATCCCCTGTCCCTTAGATCTTCTCAATGGCAGTGCTGCTGAAGTGCTAAAACAGACTAAAAAGTTTTCTCTGAAGTATTAAAAAAACCATAAAAGCTGAATAAAACCAACAAAAAAAAAGTTATATAGTTAAAAATACTCCCCTCTTACATAGGATATTAGAATTACAAAACCGTTTTTAAATACCTTCTAAACTCAGAATCCGCAAGCAGCTCTTCGACAATTGTTCTCTTCCTTTGTTTCTTAGGGATTCGACTATGGTAAAAGTCTATGGGAGAATCAACCACAGTTCCAACCTAGAAAACAGAAATTAAAACATTCTTACTGTACAGCAAGATGTTCATTGTTCTGCACCCCCCGCCTCCCCCCATTTTTTTTGCAATCCTCAGCAACCAGTGTAAAGACGCCTACAGATAAAATCAGAATGGTATCTTAAGAAAGAGCAAAACCTCAAAAGAATTAAGCAGCGTTTTCTATGCACTTTTTGTGTTACTGTTTAGTGCACAGAGGAGGGCCTGAGCTTTAAGACTGTACAGTTTTCGACACTGGACTGCTGCATCAATGCATCTTAACTCTCTCCTGTCTCTGTCATTGTGGTGGCCTTGCTAGATGGCTACACAGCAGTTAACCTGGCTCTAATACAAGGGCTTCATCCTGGAATGCATCACATTTTTTCCAACAGGCATGTTAGCCAGTTCTGATGATTCAGGTTAGTAGTAGAGATACATGGAGTGAAAACAGACCCGCCAGAAACATACAAGATCCACCCTTTAGAGTAAAGTGGTAGTATTTTGAGAAATGAAACCAATTTCCTCAAGCATGCTAACTATTCAAATAGGTGTTAAGTAGATGGAAATCTATTTTCACAGTTTCTGCAGTAATTATTTTCTTTATGCAAACCACTTCAAAGCTGAGAGCTACAGTGGTAAAAATTCTGGCTGATGACAAAGCTAGCTGTCTCCATTCAAGCTGTATTAGCTGGTAAGAAAATAAATGCAGTTGTTAAAAACAGCTAATATTTTAAAAAAGCAGTGAAAATCTAGTCCACTGAGGGTTCACAATATGGATTAAGGCAGATTTTTTGTCAGTACTGTGAGATAAGCTGATATTAAAAAACCCCAGCATATACACATATGTAATATAGAGTTAAGCAGTTGTGAACTGCAGCCAAGTAATCAAAATACTTTAATAATTAAGCTATGAAATTAAATCAACATAGAGGCTACCTAAAAAATATGCAGGGAATAAGAACAGCTGTTCACAACTTCAGCAGTACAATGCCACCTTCTGCTGCTTCCTTACCTGGAAGTACTTGGGCAGACCATCTCTATCATTCTTCTTATAAAAATGCTTAGGGTCCAACGAAGCTCTCATCTTCAAAACTTTAAGATCATTTTTCAGTTCGCTTGTGATTTCTGGGGCTTTCATACCAAACCAACCGTCACCTGTTGTTTTTGCTCGCTCTGCCTAGGATGCAATACCAAGAATAATAAATTTGCATTCAGCAACTATGATAGGATACAGCAGGGAACTCTGCTCTCCAAAAGATGGATAAGGCATTTAGAATGTAACTCTGTACCTTTAAAAAGCAGATTTTATGACTCTTATTATCAAGGTCATCAGCACTGTATTAATGAGATTTGTACTGTCTGAGCTCATGATCTCTCGATTCAGTGTGCTGGTGACAAAAAGGATGGCTTTTCACAGGATGGCTGAAGGAAGACACTAAATGGCAGTTCATCACTCCACTTCCAGTGAGGCCTGTTACATGCACACAGTCCCAGGACGGGGTTTTCTACCACAGCCTGTTTTGTTATTTGAGGTGTTATCAACTCTTCACTTACCCTGCGCTGTTTCTTTAGCTGATGCAGTGATTCCCTGAAGGGTGGAACACATTCCTTTTTTTCAAAATCTGGAGTTATTATACTCTTCTGCAAGAGCTGTAAGAATTTTTTTTTTTTCATGTTAGACAGTTGTCTCACTGATACAAATTTTACTGCTTTACTGTATGTACAGAACCTACTAAAGGAATCATGCAGAATCTAAGCAAGCATTATAATACAATACTTGAGCTTCTCTGATCCACAATGAAAGTAGTAGGGATCCTCAAAACAGAACCCTGGTGAAAACCAGAAAGCAATTGGCTAGCTCTGGAAGAAGCGAGACAGCAAATGGAATGGAGTGGTATCATGGATGAGCCTAAGAAAACAGTCTCAAAGAAAATAACACACTTCCTTTATCTCAAAGGGTGCTTTTGAAATAAAACTGCTAATTCTGCATTAGGGAGTATAGACCTTTATTTACTGAAATTCATTCTTGCTAAGGACTAAAAATTTTGTTAGCAGACCTTCAGCTTGTGTACCGTTAGGCAAAACTGCAGGTATAATCAACTTCATTTTATTTTACAAGATAACGCTGGTATTTGCATTGCTTTTCAGTTTCTGAAGTGTCACATATATTTAAATTCTTACCACTAAAACCAAACATATATCCACACTTTGGCCAAAAAGAATGGTAGTTCCCAGCAAACAGTTAAACAGGATACTTCTTTAAAAATAAGTAAACCAACCTTATTAAATTAACATCTTTGTGTTACTACAGTAACAGGTAACTGCATAATTGTAAACACATTACCTGGTCCTTCTTCTCCTTCAGTTGTTTAATTACACTTGATGTAGGCTTCTGTTTTTTTGCATCAAAACTAATATATAAACCTCCAAGTTTCTTGATATTCAAACCAGGGTCTATGCTGCTGGAAAGATGTAAACTAAAAGAGAGATAGTTAATGATTAGAATATTGTAACAAGCATGCATCTAAACCACCTACTGTCCTCTGAGAAAGATAAACAGAAACAATGTTTCTCATTCTTCCCACTTAGGTTCAGTTCTGCAATGATTTTAAGTCTCAGTATCTAGAAGAAATACATAATTTAGAGGTGACAGAAGATGAGGGGAGCGAATCATGCCATTATATGAAGTGAGAGCTTATTAAATAACAATACCTGTGGAATCACTTCCACAAATCTTTCACATTAACTCTAATGCTCTGTTCTTATCTTAGATATTACTATCTTCTATAAAATTTGTTCCTTTGTTTAACCTTGCTAAAAGAACTCATGACCAGCACCCTTCTTCTATACACTGAGAAGCTTGCTAGCTAAAGAGAAAAAAAACCCACAAAAGCACAAACATATGGCTGGTAAAAATATCGTCAACTCTTAGTGAAAAGTATGAAGCAGCAAGAATTCTTCATAGGAATGTTTAAGTCCTTGTCTGTGTAACAGTACTAAGAATAACATTATTAAACATTTCAAAGCTAGTATGTTTCACATTTTTTTAATTATTCCATTCAGGCAGCCAAAGGAACGTATCCGCAAACAATATATGTGGCTAACTCAAAAACAGTTTTTTGATTACAAGAATGCTTAAAAGCTATAAAGCGTTACAGAGAAATATGGTAATATCTAAAGAGGTACAACCAATATTTATTGTATCTTGAATACTTATTAATACAATCCCTTTATATTATAAATACTTTCTATTAAACTGTGATCAATCTTTTATAATGTCTTTACACTGAATGTTTGGCTAGGTTTTTGCAAGACTTCTGGCCTACCTGAAGGTTTTCAGAAGATTAAGACTTACCCAACCTAAACAGAATATTATGCTTCAAACATATGAAGCATACGAAAGAATTTTAGCTGGAGTTGAACCATACAAGCTCAAGAGGTCCCATCCAACCTAAATTATTCTATGATTCTATGCTGGGTTGATTTCACTTGAAGTGTCACTGTCCCACAGCACAACAAGAACTGGAAACATGGAAATATATGTGACTGTTTAGGATTAAAAAGCATGACCTAATTAGGCAATATGTAAGGAATTTACTGGACTTTTTGTTCTTTATATCCAAAATAAAAAAATCAACAATTAAGAAAACTGTGACCTGAATAAGCAATTAAGTCAGCCTGACCAGTTTAACCCAATTTCACATTTTGTTTTTTAAGCTGAACACATACCAGGCCTCCAGATGCCTAAATATTTCAGAGTTCTCTTCTGCTATATACAAAACTGAAAAAAACCCAAACCCTGAATTTATGGACTATATTTGTATTTTATAATCTATGCACCCCCACTTTCCACGTCAATATGAGACTACTCCCTCATTTACTTCACATCATTTAGCACTTAACTTACATATCCTATATGTAAATATCCTTGAATGAAATGCAGATTCTTTAGTTACTCCCAAAAAGATACTTACACGTCAATCTTATTTTTCAACAAATCATCATCTTCATCATTCTCATCTTCATCTATCAATTCCTCTTCAGCCTCTTCTAGATCCGAGGATTCTTCATCTTTTTCACTTCCTTCATGCTTACTTTCAGCATCACTAGCTTGGTCTACCTGATCTAGGTAATAGTTTCGGCTGGAGCTCATGCCAGGCTCAGTATCAATTACAAAAAGCCCTTCAGCATGCAGTGAACTGTCCTTCAAAGATTTGTTGAGAGAAGGAGGCCTCTTACCTGCCTCTTTATAACACAGATTCTCTTCAACTGTACCTATGTCTGCCACATCACTATTTTCAGATTCATCACTTTCACTGCTGTGGGATACAGATTCAGCATATTCTCCCGTTTGGTCTTCACCACGGCCCACATCAATTTCAAGCACCCCGCATCCACCAATGCTATCAGTTTTTCGTAAAACAGCTATGTCCTTCTGTGGGCTGCTCACGGCACTAGCTTGCTCCCCCTTTTTTAATTTTTCAGCATGGGTGAAAGACTGCTGTGCATCTGCCTCAGCATCTGCTCTTTTGCATTCTGGAATTGTTTTACTTTCATTTGGTGTTATTTGCTCTTTGGATTCTAAAATTTTTTTGGGACTCATGCAATCAGTCAAACAAAGATCCATACGCTCTAGTTTCCCCTTCCTCCTAAGTATTCTACTGTGTTTTTCTTGTATTTGGCCACATACTTCCTCTGAATCATCTACCCCAACAGACCATGCATTTTTTACTGCTTTTTTTCCAGGCGATTCAGTGTCACTTAATTTCACTTTTGTAAGACTGCTGGGTATTACATTATTCAAAACATCTTCTTTCACATCTTCACTCTGGGTTGTATTGGCAGATTTGGATGAATATTTGCTTTTAGGTGAACTAAATTCTTTATTATCTCCAGTGAGAGAGGAAGCATCTTCTGTGTCAGAGACAAGTTCTGCATCAGGTCTAGAATCAGAAATTTTTACTGGCTCAGATTCAATGGTGTCCTCTATTAAATTTTCATCTTCTGAAACAACTCCGTTTCCCTTCTCAGGCTGCTTAGCATTTTCTGCTTGTGATTTCATTTGCATGCTCCTAGTAACTCGTTTGGTAGTGATGGGTGGTTCCATATGAGAAGTTAAGCAGCATGACTCTGCATCAGCAATATCTTCACTCTGGGCTTCACGAACTGTATCTGGCTGCAATTTCTTTTTGCTTTGTTTGCTTCTTGTAGTTCTGGTAACATTAGGCATCTGGACACCAGAAACAGCAGAGGCGCACGACTCAGCTTCAGAGACATCATCTTCATCCAGAATCCTGTTTAATTTATTTAGAAAAGCTGTCTTGTCATGTCTTTTTTTGTCAGGAGAATCCGGTTGACAAGGAACTACAATTTGTCGTCGTCTTGTTACTCTTACAAACAAAGGTGTGTGAAGACCAGACACAGCAGAGCAATTTGATTCTGTTTCTGACACATCGCCATCAGCTTGTGGTTCAGCAACTGAACGAACAGTCGTGTTCTCATTTCTAGTAATTTGCATCTCTAAGCTATCACTGACATCTGACTTTGTTTCTGCATGATCCACCTCTTCAAACTGAGATTCCTGAATTACCTCTGGCTTATGAACTGATTTACTTCTTCTTCTAGTCCTCGTAGACACAGGAGTACTAATTTCAGCAGATGCCACCTAGAAAAGGAGTAAAAAAAAAATTGTGCCATTGACAAATAAAATAACTATATGCTATATATATCACTACTATATGCTATATAAATCACCAACAATCTTTTTAAAAAAATCTACTGGAACTGACAACGTATTACATGTCTCCGTGGAACTCTATGTGGAAGAAGCGCTAACAAACCAACCCTTACTCATCTGTCTCTCCACTGTCTTTTGGTTTAAGGCAGAAGAAGAAACACACACATTCATTAGGATACATAAACAACTACAGTAACAAATCTAAACAAATATCTTCTAATTCTAAAAAGCTCTGGCAAGCTGTCATGGGAAGTAAATCCAGAAGCTATGTTCAGAAACATTCAAAGATTTGCTCAACTATAAAATACTGAAACCTAGCAACTGGCAGAATGTGTCCCAAAATGGTTTCCATAACCAATTTTAGGAACAGACTGGCCTCACAGCAACTCCAACACTAGCCATAATGTGCTTCTTTAACGATGCTTTAAGTTACCTGGAAGGCAATTTACAATTTTTAAAAGAAAAAAACACTCTGCAACAACAAGATCTTCCCAAAAACCAGAACCATGTTGGAACAACATAAACTATGCTACCTAAACGATCGGTATTTACGCGAATATTTGCACGTCTAGTGGAAAAGCCACAGAGAAATGCTAAAGTACCTGCACTGCAAAGACAAATAAACAAACAATACCCTAACCTCTACTCGCAGCGTTAAATGGTGTAACAACTCGGAGCGGCTGCAAGCC